TATATATATATATGTTATACCATAATACAATAAATTATTCTGCTATTTGCATAAACAATGGCCGGTAGGCCGATCTTCGCGTTCGTAAATAACAGTAAATTAATATAATAAAATAGGTACAAAGTTTTAATAGCAATGCTTATTATAACACGTAATGTACATGTAAACAGTGATTGTATGGTTTCGTTATTCATTTTTAATAACAATAATGTGTATAGTATAATAGCTCATAAAAAAAAATCGCACAACGACCAAATACAATAATAAATACCTAGGTATAGGTAATATAATATAATAATATAATACACCAGTAATAATAATAGTTATAAAATAAATAAATCGAGATGAATACAAATCAAGTAGGTAGGTAAACATTAATAATTATTGTAATATAAAATAATATGTAGGTAATAATAATATATGTATGCCTAATGACTTATAATACAACGTGTGTGTGTGTGTGTGTGTGTGTGTGTGTGCTGAATTACAAATCGTCAATGTTTACGATATAATTTACTCGGTGTATACGCATAAAAAATTTTTTTTTATAGTTATTACGTGCAACAGTCATATAATTATAGTAATCATTAACATCATTACTATCGTGATTCGTGTTATATACAGTTATTGTAGAGGGCGAGGACAATATTAAAAATAGGGTTTTCTCGGGCAATGGCTCGTCGATAATGCTCTCTAAACGTAAATTGTTTAAAAACAAAACGCCAATTGGTAAGTATGTAGGTACCTATAATGATGAACAAAGTGTATATTGAAACGAATAATCGTTTCAAAAATAAATAAATATAACCAAGATACGTTTCATGCTCGCAGCAGCGTCTTGTCGGGATTATGAGAAAGATGATATGTGAAAGTGTTGGAGGTCATCCCGAGGAAAAACTTAATTATTTTTTAAAAATAATTCTAGGCTTCAGTCTAGAATATATTATTACAACAGATAATTTTTGTTGATTATTCTTATTATCAACTTTGAAAATCGACCGTATTGATGTCCTGCTGGCTAACCTCGACGTAGGTCCTATAATGTCAAACGACACACGTCGGYCGCGGTGTAAAACCGGAACAATAATTTTTTTCAATAATCATATTTTGCGTTTTATGTACAGACGAGTGTATATTATATTCATTTGAATAGCGATTGTTATTGAAAAGCACGCTTTTATATTCATATATCAAAAATTATTATTATATAATACTGTCATGTCAAACGTACAATTATTAATCATCTCGGTTTCTCTCTATTTTCTCTGCACGGGTAGAGATGTGTTTTGCATAATATAATAGAGGCGTCCAAGTACCTATAATCAATACCATATAGTTAACTCGAGGAACGTGTGTTATGTCGAAATTCAGAACGGTTCGACCAAGAAAAATTTTCTAGTTTTGTTTGATTATATACAACTACTCGCGGGTAAACAGAGTTACAGAATATAATGTGATGAGATCGGTGCTACTACCTTGGAGTTATCAAATACCTTAATGGTATATTGAATTATGACGAGTGCACGATGTTTTGTAAAACGAAGTAAGTCGAACTCTGCTCGAAAAACATCTAAAAGTCGTAAAGTCGTCCGGATGTGTTTCGCGGGTAAATATTTTTGTTGACGTCCTATTCCTGCGGTACCTATATATATATAACATGCAGGGGAACTTTGATGATTAATTTCAAACGACCCTGCAGACAACGGCTAGGTAGTCCTATAACAAAATACCTACTCACGTAGTTTTGCGGGCCCGTCGTCCTCGATTTTTACTTTTCTACACTCGGAGAAGTCATCTGATTCCGATGAGAAATGATTTCGATATTGATACAATAATTTTGTGTAATGTTTAAACGGAATACACAGACGACGATATAAAACGCATACGGTACACGGCGCTCGTCTAATATAATAATATAATGATATATTTTTCTGCTAAAT